AGGAAGGAAGGAAGGAAGGAAGGAAGGAAGGAAGGGAGGAAGGAAGGAAGGAAGGGAGGAAGGAGGAAGGAAGGAAGGAAGGAAGGAAGGAAGGAAGGAAGGGAGGAAGGGAGGGAGGACTAAAGTCCTGTACAATTTGTCAGGAGCATGTATACGGTTATTTTAAACCGTCTCTGTGCTGCCCCATGATCCTGTGAGTGTTCTCTTGTGAAATCTCAGGGCATTAACTCTGCCGAAAGCATCAGCGGTGAATTAAGGGGGTTAAAGCAGACGGCAAGTGAAAGGACAACCAAGACCCAATTCTTTATGGATTGTTCACCTGAGTTTCCCAAGCTTCCGCTGGGCTCAGAATGATCTCCAGTCGACCAGAGACATCTGTTTTTCTGGTTTTGTCAACATCCCCAGAGTTCCTTTGCATAACATGATTCACCCAAAGCTCGGAAACTTGGGTGTTGATTTCACGGCAAAAACAAAAAAAAACACTTTATCTCTAAAATGGAGAAACCAAAATTCCTGAAGTTCGAGTCCTTGTACATGATCCAGTTCACAAAAGAATGTTTACGTCTGCTGTGATGGCTGGAAGTGTGCCTTCCCTACCAAAGTCCTATGTAGAAGTCCTAACCCGAGTACTTGAGTATGTGCCCTCATTTGGAAATAGGGTTGTTGCTGATGTAATTGGTTCGGATGCGGTCATGCTGGGGTAGGAGAGCCCCCCATCCAATATGACCAGTGTCCAATATGACCGTCGGGGACAACACCACGTAAAGATGGAGGCAGAGACAGACGCAGCGATGCCTGGGGGAAGAGCCACAACTGCTAATACGCCACCAGAAGCCAGGAGAAAGACCCGAGAAAGTTCTTCCTCGGAAGGAGCCAACTTTGGCAAACGAATACACCTACTGATTCTGTCTCATGATGCCCTTCACACTGGGCCCCTCCCCTCCCTTGGTCCCCAAAACAGCAGTACTAAAAGCAGGACACGCTGACGGACCACTACAATGTGCCACATAGGCATGCTAAAGGTTGTCTGTTCCCGGGGCTCCTGTAACAGATGACCACACACCCCGTGGCGTGAAACAACAGAATTTCACCCCCTGGCAGTTCTGGAGGCCCCAAGTCCAAAATCAGGATGTCAGCAGGGTCCTGCTCCCTCAGAAAGCTCTAGGAAGAATCCTTCCTCTTGCCTTTCCTGGCCTCTGGTGCTCCCAGGTGTTCCTTAACTTGTGGCCACATCACTCAAGTCTCTGCCTCTGGCTTCACTTGACCTTCCCTCGGTGTATCTCAGATCTCCCTCTGCCTGACTCCTACAAGCGACCTGCCATGGGATTTAAGGTCCAACCAAAATCCCAGGCGATCTCATCTTGAGATCCTTTACACAAGTACATCTGCGAAGTCCTTTATTCTGAGGTTCCAAGCGGACGTACCTTCGGAGGGTCCCAGTTCAACCGATTACAGCACTCGATGTACTTCAGCTCGCCTACTCCTCAAACAACCCCCTAAGTCTACTCTTAATATCCTCATTTTACACATGATGGAACTAAGCTCCAGAGAAATTACTAACTTGCCCCAGAGGACATAACCTTGGATCTGAACCCCGGTCCGTTCTGACGTCTTCTTGCTTCTTTCTGGGGACTCTCATCCTCCATGAGTCCAGCGACAGCGGAAGCAGAGGGGGCAGATCCAGCCTGCGAGGTGAGGGCCGGACTCTCAGGTGGAGGGACAACCGAGCCAGCCCTGAGGGTGAGGGCATGTGAGTGAGAAGTAAAAACCAGGGAAGGGCATCCACACCGAGGAGGCTCACGTGTGGAGCCTGGGACCACCTAGATGACGGTCGCAAAGCAGCACATGGCTCAGGACAGCCGGAACGGGCCGGGGTGGGGGCTGCAGGGAGAGAAGTGAGCCCGGGGAAGAGGGCTTGGCAGGGCCAGGGCGCAGAGGGGCTTGGAGGCCACAGGTGGTAGCCTGACCTTTGTCCTACAAGCCATGGGCAGCCACTGACCGAGGTTAAGCTAGGGTAGGAGTACACAGATGCTTGACTCTGGGAGGCTGACCAACGTGGAAAAGGTGTCCACCTCCTTTCGGCCGACCTGCCCGATGGCCCCAGGCTACAAGCTTGCACGTGTTAGAACTGGCGGAACTGTTGTGACTGGGGTGCCCTGGGCACCTAGGCTGCAGCCCCAGCACGTGTATAGAGTCTGTGCCTACTGGGCTCAGAGTCTACGCCTGGCTCTCAGACAAGCTGTCTTTTTGAAGAAGGCATTTCTGAGAGCGGTGACCATAAAGGGCAAGCAATTTCAGCCCGAGAGTAAGAAATCCTCTGCTGGGAAGGTCGTGAGCTCTCCGAGGCGCCCTCCCACCTCTCTCCCTGGGACCCAGGCGAACAGAGGCGGACCCAGTCCCCGCACTCATGGGCAGAGCACCCACAGAATGCATCAGGGCGGTGAAAGGAACCAGGAACGCAGCACACTGCACAAAGCAGAGGGAGAGGCGGCTTCATCCCAGGTGCTGGCTGCCCCGTCTGATTGCACTTGAACCACAGCCACGGCCGGGGCAGAACAGGGAGGGGGGACATTGCAAAAACAGATGATAGCGAGTTACCTGGCTGGCAGCGCCCCCCCCCCATCCTGCATGTTTGCAAGCCCAGCGTCCCTCCCCCCCACACCGCCCCCGACTTCCTGCTGGCATACCTGTGGCCAGCACCGGGGAGACTCTGGGCAGGCTCTTTGCTCCCTGGAATCCTGTTATTTTGTGGGCAGTGCCACAGATAGACCTACACCTCACTGTGAAAATATTCATGCTTCACCCCAGGGGAGGGGGAGTGGGGACAGCTGGGGGGTGGCCGGGACAGGAGGGGTGGTAGAGGGGAGAGCGCCCCTTCAGCGAGCTCTAAAGACCAGCCATGGTGCCCAGCTCCAGCCTCTGAGCCGAGCATCTTGGGGTTTTTGCTGACACACCAACAAGGTGGACGATCTTTTTGAAGGAAAACACATTTTCCGTGGTTTCCCCAGTTGAGGAGGGATCAAAGAAATAAGAATAAGTTTTGGTGAACTGGGGAGACAGGGCCAGCAGCTCATGTAATTAGGCTTGATTTCAGTTCACGTCTATCAAGAATTTGCTGTGAGCAGGTGCAAGGAAACGCCGTCTCTAGCCCAGCAGCCTGGGCCCGTCTGTTCGCAGGGGACCATTCAAGACCTCAAGTTCGCTTGAGTGAGCTCTGGGTAATGATTCGGACCTGACCTTTCTGCCCTGCAACCTGCCTGCCTTCCAGCTACTAGTTACCGAAGGGCAAAGAGCATGGTCCCGCGGTGCACGGAGCCAGGCTGCCTGCGTCCAATCTTGACTCCATGTGGCTCAGTTTCCTCATCTGTAAAATGGGTGATGGCGCTTCCTTGTAAGGCTACCCTGAGGAAAAGTGAACGACCCCCATGTAAGTGCTGAGGCCGGCGCCTCAGCAAGTTCCGCCTCTTGTTGCGACTCAGGGAGCCTCACTCACCGAGTTCCCCGTTCCCGTTCCTTCCACCGGGTTTCCTTAGCCACATGAGCCAAAGGAATTTCTGCCTCGCACAAAGTAACATTTTTTTTTTTTTCCAGTCTCGCGTCCTCCCAGAGGAGCCCAGCTCCTGGTTAAGTAGTTCTGGTTACCAATGATCACAGAATTGCTTCACCAGCCGTAACTTTTCATAATTTATTGGATCCATTTAAAGTGATTTTAATTACAAAGGCTCTAGTTCCGTTAGATACGAAATTAAATGCAGGCAAGTAATTGTATTTCCCCCCATCTATTATGTTCGGGAAGAAATTAGAGTCGCTCAGAGCATCCTTACTGTCAAAGGGTTTCTCGGCCCATGTGACTCTGTGGGAAAGGAACTTTTCTGTTATTCCCCGAAGATGTCGGCCACTAGTGAGACTCGGGGGTTGGGCAGCGAGTGAATCCAACGCCATCAATCTTGCTGGGGTGACAGACAAGGGTTACATTTCGAGGAATACTAGTCCATTCTCCTACTGGGCCCTCGAATTCTCTTAGGACTTCCCTAACAAGTGGTCCCCTTCCCCCACATCAACACTTTTCCTGCCCTCCTTGGTATCTCCGCTGGGGAAAAAGGAGAAAGGACAGGCTTGGTGTGCATGGGGTTTAGGGGACCCTGGGTAGGAACGCTGTGGTCAGAGATGCCACTGGGCAGGGTGGGAAGGCATTGGTTCTTCTGGGGCTGGGAGATTTGTAAGTGACGGAAAAGTTCTTCCTAGGACAAACTTGTTAGGGCTTGGGAGATCACTTAAGGGAAAGAACTCTGAAACTAGGTAAGCGTCCCGTTAAGGGGAACGCTCTAAAATGTGAGCCCAGTCAGTTATAAGCTTCCAAAGCCAGAAGATTTTCTTACATGAGCGTTTTTTTTTATTTTTTTGAATATTTTTATTTATTTTTGAGAGAGAGAGAGAGAGAGAGAGAGAGAGAACGTGAGTAGGGGAGGGGCAGAGAGAGGGAGACACAGAAACTGATGCAGGCTCCAGGCTCCGAGCTGTCAGCACAGAGCCTGCTGCGGGGCTCGAACTTGGGAACCTTGAGGTCATGACCTGAGCCAAAGCCGGACACTCAACCGAAGGAGCCACCCAGGCACCCTGAGCGTTTTTTGTTTTTCTGTTTTTAAACTTGGAAAGAGAATGGAATGATCAGATTCATCCTCACTCTTCATGAATTTCAACTAAGTATCTAGTCGGGAGGCAGGAGTTCTGGAAACGGAACCGTGCACATGTTAGCCCCAGCTGACTATGTTAGGAAATGGGGGTTACAGAAATCTGTAGCCAAGGACACAAGGCTACAAAGTGACAAAGCTGTAGCAGGAGCAGGTCTGTCTGTGGCCCCAGGCTCAGTCAGAGTCAGGTCTGGGTGTCTGTAACCCTTTTTATGCTAAATATAGGGATTAAGTCAGATCCTAAGCTTTACCTCAGCCGGGACACTTTCCTCCAAGGGCTATATTGACAGAACATGTTTTGCTTTAAAGGATAGGGCCTCTTCCGTCAGGATTTCCCCTGCCAGCTTCAGAAGAGTTGACGTCGGGGCGCCTGGGTGGCTTAGTCAGTTAAGCGTCCCACTCTTGATTTCAGCTCCTGTTGTGATCTCAGGGTTCGTGAGTTCGAGCCCCATGTCGGGCTCTGTGCTGACAGCGCGGAGCCTGCTTGAGATTGCGCCTCTCTCTCTCTGCCCCTCCCCGGCTCATGCTTCCTCTGTCTTTCTCAAAAAAAATAAAATAAAAATAAATTTAAAAGATATCTTTTAATTTAAAAAAACAATTAATAAAAAATACATAAAATTAAACTAAAAAAAAATTTTTTTTTAAAGAGTCGATCTTCCCTTCTCCCCACCTCTGCCTCCTGGCCGGGACAGCCCAGGGAAGCGACGTTAGAGAGTCCCTCTGGTTGGGCTCCCTGGTCACCCTGTGTCGCATTGGGGCACCTGTGCGAAGCTCACCGTGTGTCTTCTTTGGGAGAAGCAGCCTGTGCCGGAAACAAGCCCACGCGCTGTGGCCCAAAGAGGGTTCTGGGGCATCGCACTGGAGGGTGTCTGTGCACGCATACGGCCCAGGCCCTAGATTTAAGGCCTCACCTCCCCACGGCATGTCACGCGTGAAGTGAATAACCTTTTCAGAAATGGTTCTTTTCCTGACTGCAGAAGCAACACGCGTTCATTTCAGTACGTTTGCAAAGTACAGAAAAAGCACAAAGTGAAGAATTCTAGATGGCTCATCATCCAACTAATCAGGAAGGGTGTATATGTGTTACCGTTTTACTTTTCCTGCCCCGAACTGAAGTCACGCATGCGCTCTCTTTTCTAGTCTCTGTTTTGCCTAAAACATATTGCAGACTTTTCCCCATATCACTGCTCTCCTACATTATTCCCAAACCTTCTCTGCCAATCCCCCCACCAGCCTCCCATCCTGCCTGCTCCCCTCTCGCTTGAAACACATAGCCTCACCTCTTCCTTCTCAGAAAAACACAGAAACGATCATAAAGAAGAAACTCCCCAATCTCCTGTTATCAAACCTGCAAACCTCCCCACGGCCGCACACATGTGCCCGTGTTTCCGGAGGAGCCAATCTTTTGCTAGCTCGCCTTGCCAACCCCGAACTTGCTCTGGGTCCCACTTTCCCCCACCTGGCCAAGATCTCCCCTGAGCTCAAGGTGGAAAGATCCAGCAGGCTTCCAGCCTCTTCACCCAAAGAGCCCAAACGCACCTCAAAGCCCACATTCCCAAAACAAACCCATGACTTGGCCCCAAACCTGGGGCTCATCGAGCGTTCTCTGCCATGCCTTTGTAGACACAAGAGACCCAAGGGTCAGCCTCGATGCCTCTCTCTCCCTCACACGCGTCCAGTTGATTACAGAGCCCATTCACACTTCTCTCCAGAGATCTCCTGAAAGTGTCTACTCAGGTCAGTGTCTATCACCACCCCCTCCCTGTCTCTCACCAGGGACCCCCTCAGCCTAACTGACCTTCCCTTACCCACTACACCCTCCACCAAGCCATTCTCCAAACTGCAGGCTGCAAGGTCCTTTTCCTAAGCTAAATCATGCCGCTCCCTGGCCTTCAATGGCTCCCCAGGCTCTTTGAGTAAATAAAGGTCCTCAAACTGGCGTCCATGGCCCTGCAAAGCCTGGCGGGTGCTCACCTGGCCCAACACTGCTTTCTCTCTCTGCATCCCTGCCACACTTGCCATTTCTATTCTTCATCCTCTTTCTGCCCCGGCTCGCTTGTTCTCCCCATCTAGAATATTCTTGTCCTCCTTTTTCCTAGTTGCTTCTCTTGAAGTATCTCTTTCGCAAGAAACCCTTTCTTAACCTCTCTTACTAGACCAGACCTCTCTGTTGTTGGCTGTCCTACTGCTTTTCCCTCGTGACACATGTTACACATGCAACTTTATACTTGCTGGTGTGTTTTACGTTTATCCCCGCCAGGTTCTGAGCTCTCCTCAAGGGCAGGAGTTTGGTTTGCTCTCATATCTGCGTCCACGGCACTCAGCACATTGCCTGCCACTCAAAACACTTGAAGATAAATGAATGAGTTAAGGGACCCCTAACTCAAAAGATCTAAGACTGAACTCAACACCTTCTCCCTGAAATGTGGTTTTCATCCAGGGGCTCTACTCTCATCGACTGGCACTGCTCTCATCGATATGGCCACCCAGGAGCATGATCAGAAGCTTAGAAGTAGTCTGTTATGGGTTGACTTGTGTCCCCCTCAAAAAGGATATATTGGCACATAGCCCACGATATCGCAGGAGGTGACCTCATTTGGGAACAGGGTCGTCACAGATATAATTAGTTCAGGTGAGGGCATACTGATGTGGGTCATACTAGGTGGGTCCTTAATCCAATGGGACCATCATTTGTTGTATTAAAAAAAATTTGTTTTTATTTTAGAGAGAGAGAGAGAGAGAGAGAGAGCACACAAGTGAGGGAGAGGGTCAAAGGGAAAGAGAGAGAGGGAGAGAGAGAAAGAATCTTAAGCAAGCTCCGTGCTCAGCACAGAGCCCCACGAGGGGCTCGATCCCATATTGCCGGGATCATGACCTGAGCTGAAATCAAGAGTCAGACGCTTGACCAGCGGAGCTACCCAGGCGCCCCCAGAGTGACCGCCATTTTAAAAAGGGCCAATTTGGGCCCGGAGACACATACACACAGGGAGAGTGCCATGGAAACATGAAGGCAGCGTCCGGGTGATGCTTCTACAGGCAGGGAGTGCCAAAGATCGGCAGCAAGGCACCAGAAGCGAGAGGAGACGCCTGGAACAGGTTCTCGTTCAAAGATCTCACAAGGAACCAACTGGGCCAACGCCTTGATTTTGGAGGTCTAGCCTCCAGAACTGTGAGACGATACATTTTTATTGTTTAAGCCACCCAGTGTGTGGCATTTTGTTACAGCAGCCATCGGAAACTCGTGCATAGTCCTCGACCCTTCATTCCCTCTTAGACTGGCCCCTCCCATGACAATATCCAATCCATCACCATGCCCCATCACTTTTGCCTCCCAAGTATCTCCAATCCACCACCACGGGTCCAAATGCCCCTCATCTCAGGAAATAATTGGCCTCTGCACCCCTCCTGAGCCTCCAGTAAACTTTGCACCATGCTGTACACACAGGGATTTTTTTTTTTTTTTTTTCGCAAATCTGACTTTGTCACACAGCCGTGACTGCCCCTTGCCTTCTCACTCCTGGCCACCCTGAAACTGCCCATTGTTCTTAGGATAGAAAGCAGACTACTGTCATAATCCAGAAGGCAAAGCCTCTAGACCCCGGCTCTGCCTTCCTCTCCTGCCCTGCACAGCCCTCTCTGGCCTCCCTCTCTTGGCTTTCTGGACAAGCCATGCTCTTCCCAGAACTGGGGCTCACAATAGGCATGGCAGTCACTCTATCCATCCACCATGTTTCTCTGGCTCATCCTTCAACTCACAGTTCAAAGACCGTTGGCTTTTAAAGAAATCCTTCCCCATCTCTGGCTGAGGTTCAGTGTCATTGATACACCCTCTTTTCATATCCCATCATTTTCCACATGGCACTCGTCGTGATTTGTGATTTGCGTTTCTTTCCGCATCGTCTGACTGTATCTTTTAACATCATTAGGTCAGGGACCATATCTTTTTTGACCCCCATGGATCTCCAGCAACCAGCACAGAGCTAATATCCAACTGTAGAATGAATAAGCAAACATCAATCCCTTTGCTAAAGTAAAAATAAGCCATAATGCATTTGACCGGTCTTATTTCTGGCCATGTGGACTTCTTCCACTGTTTCACGAATGTAGCAACATTGCAGGGAATCACCGAGGATTCTTTGTGCAAACACCCCGTTATTTTCTGAGAGCAAATTCTCGGAAGGCACTGGTTGCTCCAAGATTTTGAAGCTTTACCCCATTGTGTAGAGTTTCTTCAAGTGGCAGATCATTAACTAGAAGCATATGCAAGAGAGGGAAGGAAGGGGGGAGGGAGAGAGAGAAAGAGAGGGAAAGAAGGAAGCAGAGAAAGACCACCTTCCAAAGCAATAAGGCTTTGTCGGCCTGAGAAGTTCTCTCTGTCGAGACTGCTGTCCGACCAGTTTCCTAGCCACCACTCCCTCTGTATCCCTGCCAAACCATCCCTGGGAAAGGCCAAGTCAGACACTCTCAAATCCCAGGGTTTCAAATGATAAAGACCCCAAGAGGCAGGGGCCAAGCTGTTTGGGGGCTTTTTTGTTCCCCGACCCCTTTGTTCTAGCGACTTCTCCCATCTCAAAGGATTTTCAACAGCACCAAGAGCCTGACACTTTGCCCACCCTGGTTCTCACAGTCTTCTCCAGAGAAGGACAAAGCAAAGTTGGCACTGACGAGGCCTGCAATAAAGGCGGGGGGGCGGGGGTGTTGAGAAACAAGAATGCCTCCACGAATCTGGCCGCCCCGGATCCTCAGTTGCTGGAGGAACTTGCAAGGTAAACAATGAAATGGGGAGGAGACAGCCATTTTCTTCGCTCTGGCCAGTTGTCATGGATACTGGGATTTTAGCCGTAAAAGGGTGAAGGGTTTGCTTTGCGCTTTACAAACGGTGCCTTTTTCCACTTACTTGCTCCGGGTCGGGGACCTTCCCTTCTGGGAAAGCCCCTTCTGGGCCTTATTCAAGGCAAGCTAGAGAAGGGCAGTCACCAGGACCTTTGTTGTACAGGTGCTCGTGGGGCCCGCAGCCCGGCTGACGCCAGGCACAAAGGCTGAAGCATTAAAGGAAATTTCCAGCCACCCAAATCCTCCCATCTACACTGCAGGGAGGCATCTGTCTCTCTGGACGCCTTCCTGTCAACGTTCTGATTCTCCCAGGAGCGCTCACACGTGGGCCGAAAGCTTTAGCTTTGAGCCCTCCCTGAGCCCTTGCCCCCGAGACACCCCTACGAGCTTCCTCCCGCCCCCCTCCTCCCCGGGACTCCCAACTCCTTCACCCTGCAACACTGGCCCCAGTACGTCTCCCAGAGCAGCTCGGCACAGTATGACCAGGAGGCCACCAGCTTTAGTGAGGGTGGGTCAAGGCTCAGTGCCGCCACTCACTGGAATGACCTGGGGCAGGGTACTTCGTCTCTCCGAAGCTTACTCCCACACCTAGTAAAATGCAAATCGCAATATCTACCACGTAGCGCTGTTGAGGGCTTTGCCCACCTCTTCATTCTCTCCAGAGCTACACACACTCACAGCCTCTCGTACTCGCACACACACACTCACACGCACTCACAAGCTCAGGTACACACCCACTCAGCCTTCCACTGTTGACCTGTATTTTAGCCTTGATCGAGCAAGAGGGAGTGCGCCAGTTTGATATAAGCAACTGCGTCTGTCCATCCATCCGCCCAGACATTTACAGAGGGTCTGACACGTGCCGAGCACTGAAGTCCTCAAGGGCCACCAGGCAAAGCCACTGGCCCCCCGCGTGTGCCTGAGAGGCTGCACTGCTCCTGGACACCGGGGCGTCTCCGAGACACTCCCTCGGCCTCCATCCATGTACCTTCATTTCCCAAAACTCGACGACACAGCCTGAAACCCAAGACACGGCACAAGGACCTTTTGTGTTTGGATGACCAAGGCAAGGATGGGCTCACGGCGCCGGGCTCCCTTCTGGCTTCCTCGAGGCTGGAATTCTCCACCTCTTTCGAGGAGTCAGGTGAGTCAAACTGACACGTATCTTCCACACATTTGGAACAAATGTCGTAAACCTTTTCAGGCGATGATCTGACTTCCAAGGGCGGCTTTTCCTCCGCCACTGTGTGGGGACAGCAGTCCCCAGCCTCCCCCTCGACACTGGGGAAGTGAGTCCAGGAGCTGCCAGCGTGGGGCAGAGGGTTGGTGTCGGCTTGGACCATAATCGTGTCGATGCTGCCTCCCAGGCTGCAGGCCGGTTCAATAGAGCGAAGAAAAGATCACATACGATCCCCACCGCTCCGGACATGTGGGCTTGGAGCGCATCACCCTCCCTAACCCTTAGTGTTCTCATCTTTAAGATGGGATAATAAGATACCTATCTCATAGGATTGGTGGGAGGACTCAAGATTCAAAAGTACCCATGAACCCTTTTGGCCTGGCAAATATTCAGTACTCATAAATGATGGCTTTACTTTTTATGAGAATTACCATTTCGGGCTCTGTTATGGCTCTCACTATGCAAAAATCACATGCATGCCTATTAAAGGGAACCAGAATGAGCCACGGAAAACTGTAGGCTGTCAATTTGTTTAGAGTAGTGGCATTGTATGTTTTTGACCTTAATTTCCATTTTAACGTTGTTCCAATATTTCTGCAAGAAATACAAATTAAAATTATAAACACAGGTATCCAGGGCCTGATTTACAGTAACCACATAAACAAAATACTTAATTTAAATTTTTTTTCATTTTGGGGCGCCTGGGTGGCTTAGTCAGTTAAGCCTCCGACTTCGGCTCAGGTCATGATCTCGCAGTTCGTGGGTTCGAGCCTCGTGTCGGGGTCTGTGCTGACTGCTCCAGAGCCTGGAGCTTGCTTCAGAGTCTGTGTCTCCCTCTCTCTCTGCCCGTCCCATGCTCGCTCACGCTTTCTCTCTCTCTTTCAAAAATAAATAAACATTAAAATTTTTTTTTTAATTTTTTTATTTATCGTTTTTCAGAGACACAGAGAAAGCATGGGATCAGGGAAGGGGCAGAGAGAGAGTGGGGAGAGAGGATCTGAAGCAGGTCCTGTGCCGACAGCAGGTAGCCTGATGCAGGGCTTGAACTCACGAACTGTGAGATCATGACCTGGGCCGAAACTAGATGCTTAACTCACTGAGCCCCCCAGACACCCCACAAAATATTTAATTTTAAAATTCTTCTGTTTGTTTTCATTGCACACAGGATTAATTTCTCCTAAAAGAACAATGAAAGCATCCTTTGAATCCACAACTAGAACCCAGACAACGACATCAGAAATTTATCCAGACCCCTTCATCCAAAGGATTAATTCCGTAGTCATGAAAATGTCACCTGTAAACTTAGCGGTCATTTCTCCTATATGCCTCACTATGCGTGGAGGCTGCCAGATAGCTGCCATCAAGCACGAAGCCTATCCTGGATTAAAGCAAACGGTAAATGCCAGGACCACTCCAGACACAGAAGATATTTGACCTTCTGGGGGCTGGAAGTACAGCTGGGAAGGAGAAAATACCATGAAACAGGTAGGCAGCCATGAAATTCTCACTTGTTCTAACTAGGAGCTGTGTAAGCAAGGAGGACAATTGGAGACAGAATTGTTGGGGAAGAAGCACTAAACCATGTTCAGTCTTGAAGCGTGAGCAGGAGCCATCATCCCCTCCAGGAGGCCATTTGAACATTCACATCTAACTTCTAGCCGGTTCGGGCATTCCTACAGTGTGCTGAGCATTGGAGAAGACACAAAACTAGAGAACCTGGGTGGCTCAGTCGATTAAACATCAGACTCCTGATCCCGGCTCTGGTCATGATCTCACGGTTCATGGGATCGAGCCCCAGGCCAGACTCTGTGATGATAGTGAGGAGCCTGGTTGGGATTCTCTCTCTCTCTCTCTCTCTCTCTCTCTCTCTCTCTCTGTCTCTCTCACGCATGCACGCACTCTTGCTCTCGCTCTCACTCTCTCTGCCCCTCCCCTACTCATGCCCAGTCTCTCTAAATAGAGAAATAAGTAAATAAGCTCTTTTTAAAAAGACACAAAATAAACTGTCATGAAATGAACTGTATTTCCCAGGATTTCAGAATGAAATGAAATAGGTCTGCACAGCCACATCTACCTGGCTCCATTTAGAGAAAATACACTTAGACCTATTGACCAATAAAGACAGAATTCAGGGATAGAGCTTCTTTATAAAAAAAAAAAGGGGGGGGGGGGCAGAGGGGCGCCTGGGTGGCTCAGTTGGTTGAGCGTCCAGCTTCGGCTCAGGTCATGATCTCGCGGTTCATGGGTTCGAGCCCCGCGTCGGGCTCTGTGCTGGAAGCTCGGAGCCCGGAGCCTGTTTCGGATTCCGTGTCTCCCTCTCTCTCTGCCCCTCCCCCATTCATTCTCTCTCTCTCTCTCTCTCTCTCTCTGTCTCTCAAAAATAAATAAACATTAAAACAAATTTTTTAAAAAAAGGTGCAGAGGTACGAGGGATCCCTTTTAACACATACAGAGCATTCACCGTGGCCAGACACTGCCTGGGCCTGTTCCATGGCTCAGATAATTTTAACTATCTCATTGAATTATCATTACAGCTGTGACAAATAGATGAGGGAACAGAGACGCAGAGAAATGAAAAAGAAGATATTTGGTATTATTTTTATGGACTTTTTTAAAAATTTAAATCCCAGTTAGTGAACTCATAGTATCATAATGGTTTTAGGAACTGAATTTAGTGGTTCAGCACTTGTATACAACACCCAGTGCCCATCCCAGCAAGCGCCTTCCTTCGTGCCCATCACCCACTTAGCCCATCCCCCCATCCAAAACCTTGCGAGCAACCCTCAGTTTGTTCTCTGTATTTAGGAGTCTCTTATGGTTTGCCTCCCTCTCTGTTTGTATATTATTCTTCCTTCCTCTCCCCTACGTTCATCTGTTTTGCTTCTTCAATTCCACCTATGACTGAAATCATATGGTATTTGTCTTTCTTTGACTGCCTTACTTCACTTTAGCGTAATATACTCTAGTTCCATCCGCATTGTTGCCCACGGCAAGATTTCATTCTTTTCGATTGCCGAAGAATATTCCATTGTATATATACACCACATCTTCTTTATCCATTCACCAGTCGACGGACATTTGGGCTCTTTCCACCCTTTGGCTATTGTCGATAGTGCTGCTATAAACATTGGGGTGCATGTGTCTCTTGAAAACAGCACACCTGGATCCCACGGATAGATACCTAGTAGTACAATTGGGGGGTTGTAGGGTAGTTCTATTTTTAATTTTTGGGGGAACCTCCGTAAACATTCAGCATTATTATACGAGGGTCACAGTAAGAATTAGTTTTGCCAGACAGAGCGCTTATATAGGAGAGACAGAGAAACAGAGCCGAGAGCGTAGTCTGGGCCAAAGTCAGGAGGCTCCTGGCTGTGGGTCACAGGAGTTTGATATTCTGTTGGGAGGAATCATGATATCAGAGCAGGTGAGCAAAGCAATGCTCGGATTTCCTTCCGATTTTAAGAAATAGAGTGGAACTGGAAATAAAGGAAGTAGAAACACCGTCAGAGGATGCTAAGGAAAGAGCAGGTATCACCATCACCAGCTTCAAGGTAGCAGACCCACTGTCTCTTGATTCTTACAACGGCCCTGCAATGTAGAAACTATGAGCTGGTCTTAATGCCCTATTACCTATCACGGGGATATTTCTAAACGAGCACCCCAAATCATCGTAAACTATTCCCTCGAATCATTCTGACACAGGGAGCTGCTAACATGTGAGAGAGAGCGGCTCTCCAAGAGATGATGACTGCTCTCCCTCCCCCCAACCTCGCCTCCTCTTTCTCTTTACTGGTTCTCTCCTCTGCCCTTGGAGCCTCCTTAGAAACCCCAGCCTTTCTTCCACCCCACGGTATCGCCATGATCCTTTCTGTACCTCCAGGTTAGTGAGGCCTTGGGGTAAAAATGATTGATTGACCCAGGTTTGTACATAGAGAAACGGAGACTGGAGAGGCTAAACGCTTTAACCAACGCCCCACCCTTCTTAAATCTCCTGGTTCAACGCCAATCCTGCTTTTGCACAGCCGTGCCTCTTACCCACCTGGCTGACAGCTTGAAGCCAGGCCAGCGCTCTGAGCATCTGATTGTAAGTTCAGCCTCCCCATGACTGGCCCCAGATTAGGGTGAAACAATAGGCCGGGCGTGTGGGGCTTGGTCCTGGGGACTGTCCCTCAGACCAGCTCCAAAGATCCCCACCCCCCCGATTAGTTACAGAACGCCTGCTGCTGTGCACAGTAATCCAAATTGGGTTCAAGCCCCCAGCCTCGGTGCTCTATTGTAATGCTGTATTTTTTATTCAGCACCAGATCAGAGATCTGCTAAGACCTCGTGTTGCCAACATAAAAGAAGAAAGATTCGTTAATCCCAATGAAAATGAATTCGTCTTATTTTTTCCCTGAAGAAAAAAAAAAAAAAAGAAAAAGAAAAACATGACGGTATTACATCAGCCTTTCAGAAAAACAGAAAAATCCCTGCCATCGTGAGATGGTCGAAGCATGCGGCTTTGAGAGTTGACACAAAGAACGCAATTACACACCCCTTCACCTCTTGCCGGCTTGTTTTATTATCCTGGATAGTCCAGCTGGTTTTCCCTGGGATGCTTTGGATATGATCATCCCAGCAGTCTTGACATAGAGTATCAGAAAGGAAGAAGGTCAAAGGTTGGAAAGGGAGGATGATCACAGAATCAAAGAGAAGAGAACAAGAGGGGGGCAAGAGAACGGGCAAAAAAAATTCACCTTAAAAATCAGACACATTTTGTTGAAATCCTAGAGTTTCAGAGCCAGGAGGGACTTTGAAGGTACCTGGTCACGCCTTCTCATTAAACACATACACACACACACATATGCATACAGATAGACATGCACACACACACACACACACACACACACACACACAGCAAGTGAGGTCAAGAGAGAAAGTGTGAATCATCCAAAGGAACAGATGCTGACCTGTAGGTTAAAAGGTGCAGGGATTCCAATGCACTAATCTGTCGGGGAAGAGCCTTTTGTGGATCTCAGTAAACACGTCCTAGGAAAAAAGACGATGATGGCCCCTCTTTATCTAGTGAATGCCGACCACTCCTCTTTCCTCTTTAAAGCTCTGTTGATCTGTTGGTTCACTTACGAACTGATAAATAACTGAGTGGTGTAGTGTAGGGACCTGCATACGACCGTCCGTGGGCCAGATCCAACCCGCCTCCTGGTTTCATACGGCCCACAAGTGAAGAATGGTTTTTACCCTTTTCAAGTGTAACATTTTTTGGAAACAAAAAAAGGTTTACGAATAATAGTTCCTAGCACATGAAAATTACATACAATGCAAACGTGGGTGTCCGCAAATAACCTCTGACTGGAGCACAGACACGCCAGGCACCCACACGTGGTGTACTTACATAGGTACATATGTAACCTACCCATCCCTTCTTGCGATTCCCATAGGCACCCCTCCTTTCCTGGGAGTCCTCTCACATCTCCTTCCTTCTCTGTTTCCTGGGGTCCTTCCTCCTCAAGCTACCCCCAGAAGCTCCATCTTCGTTTCCATATTATACAGGACAATCTAGTTTATCACCCTGATGCTTCTAGTTCCAAGGTCATAGACTCCATGTTTTTCCTAAACTAAAGGTCCCTTGCTATGTCCCTCACCCCTAAAACCCCAGGATAACTATGAGAGCTTCAGACACAGTTTCTCCTTTCCACAGCAATCTCTAAATGTATGATCGGTGTCCCACTGATGTGAATTGTTATCACCACCTTGCCCTTGGAAGACAGAAGAACTATCGGCAGGTTTGGGGTTGACTTGCTTTTTCTCTCCATTAAAGTACACAAAGTATCTACCATACTGCTTGACACATAAAAAAAAATCAATAGATGTTTTTCTTTCCCTGTAAAACAAAAACACACACACAGACAAATACGAAAATGTGTAACAATATATATATATCCCATGTGGAGACTGTGAACAGAATTCTGTATCCGGCACCTGTCGGGGGGAGAGGGGCGACAGGATTGGGTTGGGGAACACTACCTAGAACAAGGTGAAAAAAGTAACATTTCTTTTTCTCCACCATTTCAGTGTACTGGGAGCTGGGGCTCCTGGGTGGCTGTAGGTTAAGTGGCCAACTTCGGCTCAGGTCACGATCTCACGGTTCCTGAGTTTGCGCCCCATGTCAGGCTCTGTGTTGACAGCTCGGATTCTGTGTCTCCTTGCCTCTCTGCCTCTTCCCCACTTATGCACTCGCTCTCTCTCTCTCTCTCTCAAAAAAAATAAAAATAAAAAATACACATTAAAGGGTCTCCTGGGTGGCTCAGTCAGTTAAGTGGCCAACTTCGGCTCAGGTCATGATCTCACGGTCCGTGAGTTCGAGCCCCGCGTCGGGCTCTGTGCTGACAGCTCAGAGCCTGGAGCCTGTTTCAGATTCTGTGTCTCCCTCTCTCTGACCCTCCCGTCTTCATGCTCTGTCTCTCCCTGTCTCAAAAATAAATATAAAAAAAAAAAAACGTTAAAAAAATTTTTTAAAAATACACATTAAAACAAATTTTAATGTACTGAAAGCTGACTAAAAGTTACCGGATGAGTATCCTTCCGGGATTTCCATATGCTGTTTCTCACCAGACAGAAAGGGTTGCAAGACTTTGTATCTACCGCACCTAATGTTGCTGCGCAACAAAATATCCCCCAAAATATAGCAGTTACACTCAAAACATTTTGTACCTCTCACAGCTTTCTGAGGGGTCAGGAATTCAGAAAGGCTTAGCTGAGTGGTTTTGGTTTAGGATCTCTCACGAGGTGTCTGTCAGGATGCTGGGCTGGGCAGTGGTTATCTGAAGGCTTGACTGGGGCTGGAGGATTCACTTCCAAAGTGGCTGTTGGTGGGAGGCCTCAGTTCCTCACACAGGCCCCTCCAGGGGGCTGCTGGTGACATGGCTTTCCCCCAGAGTGGGTGATCCAAGAGAAAAAGAGAGAGAGAGCCTAAAACAAAGGCTGCAGTATTTTATAACCTCATATTGGAACAACATGCCATCGCTTCTGCCATATCCCGCACAGGCCAATGCTGGCACAATGTCAGAGGACACTCCACGAGGATGAGAGAAGCTGCCCACCCGCCTTTGGGACTCCTGAGACTCTCGGTTGTTCCAACACATTCCCCTTTCTCACTTAAGCTACTTTGCAAGTTTCACTCTGACTTGCAAGCAAAACAGCCTGAGATAAGACGAAATTCTGAGACTATTGCTCTGGATTTCTACATCTGAGAAAGAGAAAAGAAGAAATCCTTTCCACATAATTATTGGGAAGCTAATAGCACAAATCCAAAGCAAAACACAACAACGAGCAGCTTTATTATGGTTACTCTGCCGTAACAAATTATCCGGGAACTTAATAGCTTAAAACAATCATTTTATGTTGCTCACGGTTTCGTGGAATTTAGGAAAAGCTCAGCCAGGCAGCTCTCATTGGAGTTCTCTCATGCTATTGTAGCCAGACGTGTGCTGGGGATGCAATCTTAGGACTTCAGTCCAGCTTCTCTGGGCTGGACATGCGAGATGGCTCGCTCACGTGGCTGGCAACTGACTCAGGCTGTCCACTGGGAGCCCAGCCGGGGCTTTCAAACAAAACACCTCTACGTGGCTTCTCCAGCATGGCCACCTCAGGTAACTAGACTTCACGTATGGCAGCTGCTTCTCCCAGAGCAAGCACCCCAAGAACCGGGGCCGGGGCGGGGGTGGATGCATAGCCTCTTCTGACCCAACCTCAGGA